GGTAGGCTCACTCCTCGCCATGTATGCAGCACATCCACATGGATCTGCCCTTAGCCTCATCGCCCTTTTCTAAGTCTGCCTGGACAATGGTCTGCCCACAGCCAGTATCCACCATCGCGTCTACCGCTATTCCCCCTATTTTACGGGTATCATTATCTTCGTCCCTTCTCCTACCCTTGCTTTGGCTGAGTATACTAGCAGGTTCCCGAATGTGCAATCCAGCAGCGGGCAGTCCCGTCAGTAGTGTCCCTCCTGCCCACACTGGAAACACACGCCTCATAGCAGGGTTCCTCCCTTCGGGTTCCTTTCCCTCTCTTCCGGGGGTGGGGTCTTTCCTCCTCGCTCCCAGTTGGAGGTCCGGGCCACACAGGTGCTAGCTTCCTCTTATCCGTTCAGATTGGCCTCCCGCCCTGTACCTTCTCCAGTTCCCCCCTTGGTCCCTTTGGGCTCAAACCGCTCACCTTGGGCAGTAGAACTTTGGTTGCCTCCTTGGTTCCCTCTAGTAATTCCTCTGCTGCTAGATGGCCCTCCATTAACGTCACTGTTTCTGATAGCGTGGCAAGCTGGTGGTGCCAGGCCCATCTTTATCCTTCAGAAACTACTCCAACACTATCATTTCGGTGACCTGAGCCCCCAATGTTTGATTGGGCTCCAGCCATCACCATCCCACCTCTCGCAAACTCTGGGCCACCACCTCCGGTCTTTCCCCAGCAGCGTACTTCTCCTGGAGGAAGTGCTGTCTATAGGCCTCAGGGGTGACTCCCAGTTGATCGAGTATCACCTCCTTCACTTTATAGAAGTGAAGAGTGTCTTGGGCAGATAGGCTACAGTACGCCAGCTGGGCTTGGCCTAATAAATAGCCAATGCTCTTCCAGCCATTTGGCCACCAGAGCCACCTTCTCAAACGTTACTAAGAATGCCTCCGGGTCATCCCCCAGTCCCATTTTGGCCAGACGCATGAGTAGTTGGGATCCAGCCCCACCCTCCTCCTCACCTTCCCTTAAGAGGCAGGGGCCAGACCTTCCTCCGGCTGTCAACCGGTCAGACAGTTCGCAGAGCAGCTGCCTCTGTTGTCCTTGATATTGTGTGGCAAGCTGCTGTACCAGCTGCATTTGATGTTGCTGCTGTTGCCGCTGGCTTTCAGTGAGCCATTCCAGTAGCTTTTTCATCTCCATGATGAACCCTTAGACAGAGAAGATGTCCCCCCCAAAACACCAAATCCTCCATTTTTTTTTCTTCTCAGACTCCCTCTTCTCCACCAAATGTGACCATTCGCATAATAACCCATGTGACCCTCCGCACAGTTTGTGGCAATTACATGTTTATTGGAGTCCACTTGGCACAGCCTGGGGAACCACCCTCTGATCTCTTTGCACTTCAGTGTGAAAAACAGCTGGCTCAGCTCCCCGGCTGTGGGAGGGGGACCTGGGCCTGCCCTCTCTCCAGGTCCCGACCCAGGGCCCTGGGGAAGGAGAATCCTTCCCGTCTCGGTTGGTGGGGTGTTATCCCTAAATGCACCAACCCTCGGGTGTCCACTTAGTCCTACCCTGGGTCACTTCCTCCCAGCCAGCCTCCTGTCGGCCCCAGCTCACCTGTCCACCCGACAGGTCTCTTCTCCCCCCGCTTTCCTTTCCCTCTCCCTCCTTTATCTTCAGCCCTTTACCAACTCCACCCTCCACGCCAGCGTTCCTCCCTCCTTCTGCGTGGCTTCCCCAGGGGGGGCGTGGTGATGCCCCCCCCCCACCCCCAGCCGCTGACATCATCCCGAGGTGTCAGCTCGGTTCCCGGCACATGTGCCGTGTTCGCGGCACCATGGCTTGCGCTCTGCATCCCCCGCCATGCCGCCATCTCCCCTTTCTGGACGGGAGTGCAGGGCAGCCCTGCCCCATCACAGTTACATATCACAATTAGTAGTTCTGCAATTTCATATCTGAGTTCCTTTAGGGTGTATCTAAATTACATGGCTCCGTCGATGGAGCCATGTAGATTAGACAGATTGGCAGAGGGAAATGAAGCTGAAATTTAAATAATCGCAGCTTCATTTAAATTTAAATGGTTGCCGCGCTGAGCCGACAAACAGCTGATCACTGACCTTAAAGCCTAACGTGCTAGTCTGGACGTTCCCCCTGTCGACAAAAAAAGCCCTTTGTCGGCAGCCCCCGTATTCCTCGTGGAATGGGGGTTAA